CCCTCCCCCAGGCACAGACTTAGGTAGGGGAAAGGGAAAGAACGGCTGCAGCTGTACCATTGCACTGGTGGTACAGTGGCAATTGGAAGTTGCTGCTGCCCCTATGTGTTATAGCTGCCCTGGGCACCCAGCTGCATTGTTATGCCTTGAGTGTCATCAGTATGCTGATCATACTCAGCTTGTTGTTTTTTTCCTCATCTGCCCTGTTAGCAGTCTCTGTCCTTTCCCAGTGCCTGGATGTAGGTGAACCAATTGAAGTTGATTCTGGACAAGACAGAAGTGGTGGTGGTGGGTAGACGACTTGGCTTTTAGGGGAGGATTAGGACACCTATTACTGACAGAATTCAGCCTTCTTTTGTCCCTCAGATTTGAAGATTTGGGGTGCTCTTAGATCCTCTGCTGCACCTGGATCTGCAGGAGGTGGCAGTGTCTAGGAGTACTTTTCACCACCTCCATCTGGTGAGAAGGCTGAGACTTCCTTTCAGATTCAGATCGCATTCATGCCATTGTAATCTTGAGTCTATACTACTACAATCTGCTCTACATGAGACTGTTCTTGAGGATGACCATCTGGAAGCTACAGGTGATGCAGCATGCAAAGGCTTGCTTTCTGACAGGGTTGGATCACTCCAGTGCTCTAGAGTCTATACTGACTTTCAGTAGCTTTCTGAGCACAATTCAAGGCGCTGGTTTTGACCCACAAAATCCTTAAACAGTCTGGACCCTATGTACCTAAGGGAAAGCCCTCTTCCTTATGCCTCAATGCCATCCCTAAACTCAGTTGAGAGCAGCCTTCTGCAAGTACCATCAGTGCACCAAATTTGCTTGGAAAAAAATACATAACGCCATTCCCGACAGTCACTCCTTAGCTTTTGAATGGCTTTCTCCTTGAGGCCTGCCAGAATCTGTGTCTGAACATCTGAAAATGCTCTAAGTCCTTCTTATATGGGCAGGTGTTTAGCAAGCCAGGATAGCCTACATTATGGTTTAGGGGTTATTTTTAACATTTTACTGTTCTTTATCATTATTTTCTTACTGCAATCTACCCTGAACCTTTTTTGGGGAAAGACGACACATAAATCTACTAAATAAACAAATACATCAAAATACAGAAAAATAACTAAGCTAATAAAAAGAACACCCTCAAACATGCTACTAACACATTTATACAGCCATTTAATTATTGATATGTCTGTACATGCACTATTTCATATATACTTTAATAACATGTCATTTAATGAAATGACAAAACAACAGGTTGGCATTATGGTCATGCTTTACAGTATAATTTTCAATTATGTAATGTGTACATTGACATTGAATGGATTTTAAATTTAAGGTGAATGTGTCCAAAAGGGCATTAGTGTTCTGGTGTGATTGTATGTCATGATAGTAATGAATTAAACAAGATTTTTTGTAAAATGCCTCTTTCATACACTAAACAATTCTAACTACACAAACACACAAGCGCGCGCATGCATGCACATGTGCACACACACACACTGCAAACTGTCATCACATTACTGTCTTTATCTTCTACAATTTAACAGAATTAATGATTTCTCTGATTTTCCATATTAGACAAGATGTGAGTCAATCCCCCATTGGAAAAAAAGTCACACAATACAAGGAAATACATGGAGAAGAAGGTAATCTTTTTTATCTTTTGGTGTTTAACTACAGCTGTCCTTTATACTCAGTCAAATAATATGGCATATCATACCATATTTGGAAATGGTTTTAGAATGCAGGAAACAACTGGAGCTTTCTAGCTAGCTTTTCAAAGGCTTATTTTTAGAGCCATACCTAAAAAGTTCTGAATTACATGGGCCTTGCTATGGAAACACAATTGCTAAGCACTAGGGATGTATACAGACTGCTATATACAGCTTCAAGAAAAATGTAAATAAAATTGACAGAATTACAAAATTAGTGAGGCAGGAAAAAAAGCAAAGATCTGGAATTTAGTAAAGCATTTGATATAGTACCTCTCAAAACATTTGTTTTTCTTGACGTGGATATAAATAATGTTGCATAAACAGGCTGTAGGATTGCTTGTTTGCAGGAATCCCACATGACACCTTCTGTCTTCTCTTTATCTTGTTATTTGTTTATAACAAGATAAAGAGAAGACAGAAGGTGTCATGTGGGATTCCAATGGATACTGGTTGTAGGTTCCATCACATGGAACATCCTCACTTATGATGTAGAAGTGGGAAGAAAAACATCTAGTTAATAAAGTATGTAGATAATGCTAAATTGAGAGGAGGTGCATGACGGGGGAAACACCAATGAGGACAGAGACAACACACAGGACTCTAGAGGGCCTAGAAATATAGGTAGGAAATAAAGTGCATTGCAGCTTAGAAAATTACATGCTAATATATTGCAGGTAATAATCAAAAGCATAATATTCAGTGGGAAGGAAAAGCTGGAAAGCATTAAGGTTGAAAGGAGGGTAGGACAAGGACAGTCCTGCAACCTGACTGCAAATAAAAAAGAAAGAAAAGAGAAACAAAAGAAAAAAGGCTGCTTCAACTGTAGCTGCACATATGTAAAGGAGGGAGCAGGAAAGTAATAGATTCTTCTTAAGCAACTTTGGAGAAGCTTTGGAATACTGATCCTCATTCTCCTCTCATCTGAGTAGAACTCTACTGACAATAAATTCGTTGTTCTTGATTTATTCTGATGCAAGATTAACATCAGCCTCTCTGTATTCTTCTCTGAGCACTTCATTACCAGGAACATACTGACAATTTGGAAGGAATCATAGAAAGGTCAGAAAAGATCATTATGGTCTGAATTATGAAGAAAAAAAAGACCAAAAGAGTTAAATAGGTGTGGGTTAGTTCGGTAATCACAACAGAGTATTGATGACAGAAAATACTCTGAATGAGAACAGTCCAAGAAGACAGAAGAAATATTAGGCTCAAAGGGTTTTAATTAACAGCAAGGTAATGAACTTAAACAAGGACAAATTTAGGCTGATTATAAGGATGTTAATAACAGGATGTATATAAGCCTTAAACATAATATGTCTAAGTCCTTAAACAGCTGGTAGGTAATGTGCATGTGTACCTGGATGCAGAAATGTTGTAGTCCTCAGCTGCTGAAGGTGTCCTCTCCAAATGTCTTAGGAGTTGGGTATTCTTCTCCAAGTCAGTATAGGAAGAACTGATATCCTCTTGACCTTGGTCTGATATACTTGTAGCAGGGCTGGGGCATATACAGTTAGGACATGACCACTCTGCTGAGCTGGTACTAGTGATAGAAGTAGCTGTTGAATGGGCAATAGAAGGATGTGGTGAGTAATGTGAAAAAATATAAAAAGACAAACAGGAACCCTATATTTTTTAATATCAAAACTGCATAATTTAATTTCCTTTTTCTCCCCTCCAGTTGTTAATATAAAGCAGTACTCAATGAGCCCTGATGACAAAAACTTTAAACCTATGGCTATAAAATGAAACACAGCTGGTGAAGTAAATATTTTGCTGGTGACATGTAAATTTATTACAGTGTCAGAATTACCTTGGGTAGCTAAAAAACAATAAAAGTATGCCATCAGCAGTATAATTGTCATCCTGAAATTTCAGTGCTGCTAGAAGTTCTAGCATCAGCTGTGAGTTGGTAATGAATATATTCAATCTCTCTTCCACTTACAGAATGATGTGATAATATCCATGACTACTTCGTATTCTCCTTTTTGCAACATGTTCAAGACATTCAGAGATAAGATCTTGGACACTACCATAGGCTCTGCACTCAGACTGTGGTGAACACTGCTAATGAACCCTGCCTCTTATACCAAGAGTTCTCCTTGTGAGATGTTGAAATGTGGACCCAAAAAGCTGCCTTCAGTTCCTATTGATGCTTGTCATCCAGTATTGCATTTGAGACTTCCCTGGGTTTAGAAATTCCTTGCTGGGCAAACTGTCCTTAAGCAGATCTGATGGGATAGGGGGCATCCTCATCTCCCAGGAAGTGCTCTGTATCTCACAGCATCTTGGCTTTAGTCCAGCAAAGCATGCTGGATACAGACCATTTTTTCTCCAAAGTATGTAGTAATCACATTACAGCAGACTGTAGAAGACTCAGCTTCTAGGCAGAGGGAACTCAGATTAACTGGACCATTTGCAACCTGGACACAACTCCAACTCTGGACAGCATTTGCAGATGCAATGTCAGTGGATAACAAAAGCTTCTTCAGCCACTGCTGCACCACAGTCCTTTAATAACAATCTATGCCGCAGTTGACTGGCTTTGCCATAGGTCAAGAGTCATGTATGCTCTAACCTCCTACCTTCCCGACAAATTAAGTCACTGCTGGGTGGATTATCTTTTCCAGCATACCAGGAAAGCTATCTCTAGCCAGGCATGCTGCTGTTCTTTTTCAGTGTGGCTGGTTTTTGTTGCTAGAAGCATTTTGAGTTTGTGTGTCTCCTTCTAGTAATGCGTTATACCAGGGCAATGATACAGCTCAGAGCCCTAGTTTAACACTTTGTTTGCCTGTCCAGGGTATGCAGGCAGCGGATTACAGCTCTGCCCTAGTTCCGGACCACGTTGTCACTGCCGCAAGATCCCAGCCCCCAAGCAGCTTCCTGACCAGCTGCGTGCCCTGCCAGCACTGCTGAGGCTAGTCTCCATGGAAACCAGTCACAGAGACTTGGGCAGGGGCTGCTGGGAAATTGAGTCCACTGTGGATCCAATCCAGCCCACAGGCTGGACTTTGCCCACCCCCGCTATAATCTAACGATTAGGGCATTGTTGTGGGATATCCAGAGTTTTAGCACCTAGCTGATCACCCTCTGCTCTTGGGTAAAAGTACACCAGTAGCAACTGCCTTGAAAATTATTTTCCAGATAATACTGTTTGTTAAATTCAGTCTGAAATTACAAATAGTTTGAGGATGACCAGACCACATATTTCACTGAATAAATTTCACCTAGCATGAGGTACTAAAACTCAAACTCCCAAGAGACAATGAAGAAGCTCAGTCAGAAGCCATTGAGGGTCAAATTGAACCAAAACTAAGTGTTCTGATTTGGCATGACAAATTGTAATGAAATGTTTCCATTCAGGGATGTCAGAGGATATTTGTTTAGGTTAAATATATCATTTCAACATTGTCCATAAATTTTGCTCCATAAATTATTTCAATCTTTTATATTTTTTGTCTTAATTTAGTCCCAAAACATATTTCAAAATGTGAGAATTCCTGACCGGACGGAAAATTTCAATTTTCAACCAGCTTGGTATCACTCAATTACTATGTTTGGAGGGCTATGCTATACACCTACCAGTGACGAGCTATAGAAAATTCTCTTAAAATTACTGTAATACACTTTGGTCTGGTCTGCATAAAACCCGAAAGTGTTGTCTTTGGAGTATAGCTGTGTTGTAACTGGATTCCCTAATAAGATTGTAACTAGTGCAGATAAAACTTATGTCACACAAAAAAGCCAGTTCCTTTTGCTTAATTTCCTTGTTCTAGATGGATCTAATGGTGAATTACATCATTCAAGGAGCTGCAATTTCTCCAATTCCATGTTTTAGTCATGCTGTATGTAAAATTTTGGAGGGCTTACCTGAGTCTCTCTCTTGAGTTGTATGAACTGCTGCAGGAGATTTGGATAATCTGGTTGCTGTTGTGGTCCCATTGATCATAGCAGCTGCAGAAGAAGTTGGAACTAACTCAAAGAAGAGTGCATCCTCTGAGGGCCCAGTTGATCTCTTTGTCATGAAATCTAGGGAACCACAGAACTGGCCCAAGTCTGGTGAACTGAAGGGTGAGTAGAAATGTATCGCCTCCATTCTGTATAAAAACAATGAAAATGCATTAATTTACCATGAGTCTATGGAAAACACATTTAATACTCAGGGCCAATGAGCACATTGCCCAACAGTGTTTACTGTCATAGGGATGGATGGGTTGTAAATTAGGGCACAACACGGCATGTCTCTCCTTTCAAAACATATCAACCACTAGCCAATTATCACATTACTTCTTGACCTTCATTGCGTTCATCAGTGTTGCGTAAATTATACAATTCATCCAAGGAGCACACCTCCAGTTCAAACTAATATGCTTATCCTGGTGATGTATGTAGTACTCACTGGCTAATTTTGCTTGTTCCTAGTCCTGCTGTCTGGATGGACACTGATGTTTTGTGATGGGATCCAATTGCTAATTCCCAAGCACTGCTAAGCTTCTGGGTGCTGGGTAATATCTGATTACTGTTCTTAGCTTTGTGTCCCTCAGGCACTCCTCCAGGTACAAAGCCCTTCTCAGAGGTATGATCACAGCAAAGTGGAAATAGTCAAACTAGGTTTAGTGTTTCTTCTGGTAACAAACCCATTGTTTCTGCAAAGGAAAACAGCTCAATGCTGATGGCCACTGATGGCATTGTCACACTTTTCCAGATAGTTTCCCTCTTATAAGTCAAACTTCTGCTGCAAAACAGATGATATAATTCACAGTGACAGATACAATAACAAACAGTGTTCAGAAATCAAATGGAACATGCAGTTGGGCACAGGCATATCTGTCACATTGCTTCCACATACCTAGAAGTCAATCAGGTATAACCAACTGAAGTCAATAAGCCAAATGCACTATAAGTTTGACTCCAGTGAGGTCAGTGCAATCATGCCAACTGAGAATTTGGCTCTACAGAGTTCTCCTAGTGTAGGTAAGACTGGGATAAAAGGACTCTCTCTTAAATAAATGAAAACCAGCCTACATTTTCTGAAGTGACTAGTGATTTGGGTTGTGTTGGCCCAGATAACTGAAAATGACCAGTTTTTCAGAAAATAGTAAGGGCTTACTCTATGAAAATCTGACCCTTGTAAGGTGTCTAAAGTTGGGCTCCTCCAGATTAAGACACCCCAAATCAGTAGTTGCTTTGGAAAATGTAGATCTCTGTGCTGAAAAATGCTGCCAAGAAAGGTTTATTTATGCAGCCATCCTAGAAAGAGTCAAAGGACAAGCTAAATATAGTTGCTGCTTTGGAAGGGCAATCATGGTGGTATTGTAAGGAGTGACCTAGAAATTACCATGCAGAGACCAAGCAAACGGAATGTTATGTGATGAATGCCCATCTGCAATGATAAGGAGGAGACAGTCTTAGATAAAGGAGGCTTGAAAATAAAAGCAGAATCAGAGTACTGGGTTAAAGAGCTCATTAAAATACTAAAAATCACGCCCCTAGGTGGGGAAAAAGTATGCTAATGAAACACACATGTATGTAAATGAGATACATAGCTAAAACACAGGTATAGAGACATGCTCAGTGAAGAACTCCTTGCTTCACTCCTTTATAACCAATTAGCAAACAAGGATGCTTATGAAGGTCCAAAACTCCTGTATAAAAGATGCTTAGTGGTAGTGATCTGGTGTGCTTGTTACGTGAAATTATTCCGCTCGCACCTTTTATTGCTAGCAATAAACTTTCTTTATACTTTCACCCCTGGTATCTTTATTGGCCTTTGCATACTGGGCACAATCCCAGACTTGAGCTGGGGCACAACAGTTTTTGGCACCCCAGATGGGACTGCCTTAGATAAGCTTTGCCCGGACTAACTGACGACCAGACGACCACTCCTCCTTATCAAATGTCAGGCGTGCCCCGGGATCTCTTTTCCCGGTGAGACTTTTGCTTCAGGGGGAGCTGGATCGCTGAGGTGGCAGTAGCTTAACAGTGCAACGCCATAGAGTGAAAGTACCAGTAACAGGCACCTGGGTGAGAGGGTAGAAAGGGCATAAGGCCTAC